ATTATGCGCCGCTTTTGAGTCGACCGACTTGTCGCCCGAACTATAGCCTTTCGATACGCAAAAATCATACGGTCGTAATTATCTTAAGGCTACCGCAGCGCAATGGTGCCCACACCGTGTAGATCATATTTCTTGTCGGCTCCTACCTTTCCTCGGTGCGCGCTTGCGAGGAGTGAGACGTTCGAGAACCGCGAGTGCATTAATCTCCGGCGACGGTTGCGTTAATATAATCGTTTAATATGTCTGGTTTATTAACTGCGCCCGTTCTCATTGGCCCGTTAATTCACCTTTCCGGCACGAACCCATCGCGAACCGAAAATCCGGCACGCGAGAATGAGCGAGTGGACGAAAGAAGAAGAAAAGGAAGGGGAAAGGGGGACTATTTCGGCTGATCAACCGTTTCTTCGCGTGCAATGCGATGCACCTAATCCTAACGCAGCACGCTGGAACATCAAAGACCCTAATTATGAAAGAATAATTTGAAAACGAACCAGATGTATTGTATTGTTATTTTTCTTTGATTATTTGATCCTTTGTTCAGACTGATGCACATTTATGGAGCTGTAATCATGTCTTTTGTAAATTTTCCCCTACATTTATATTCTGGATTTTAATTTGTACTTCAATCCAATTTTACATTGTTTCTGATTTTGTTAGTTTCATTATAACGTGCAGTTTGTTCTTACGTACTGCAATTTATCAATGGATCTGAAGAAAAAAAATTGCTAGAAATCGATTACAGATAGACGGAAAAATAATTGACCATCGGCATCGATCATGCGACCGAATTGTTCAAATGTGATTTGTTAATTCTTTCTCGGTCCGATATCTCTAAGCAATTTCTAATAGACACAAGGTTTAGAATACTTTATTCAAGTTATGCGGAAAATACATAACATATGATTAAAAATGAATTGACCTGATCTCATAATTAAGTTAAGTTCTCACTTTCTGTGAAAGCAATACCCTCATTGAATTATATTATTACGCAGAAAAAGGCCATATCCGACAAGTACGAAAAATTATGCCGTTAATGAGTACCTGTGGATAACACTTTCTAAAGCTTAAGCGGCGCGAGCGGCATATAATCGGAAAGATTATATCTCCACGCGGCAATAATTAAAACCTGCGGTTGCCACACCGTCACGCTGATAGATGCTCGCGAACGGGACAAATTATGATAATAAAATTGTCAACGCGTCTCGATCTCTCCGTTCTGAGAACACCAATTATTTATTACGCTCGTAATATTCATACGCGCGATCGTACCACTGCTGGGAACGTGCATTCGATGATTGGTCGATGAAATAATTTGTATATTGCGCCACGGGGGAAAACGCTAATGTGACGCGCACAAGTCGGCCGATAATTAATCCAAAATGGCGATCTGCGGTAAAAAAAAAAAAAAAACACGTTTACGATGGATAATGAACCGCGTCGGGCGCCGCCGGTCAAGTATGCAAAGCGAATAACACGTTCGACTTGTGCGACTGTCGGTTACGGAAGGCAGAAAGGTGCCCGATCGGCCAATCGCAATCATCGCGGTGCACGGTGCTCAATGTGCCGATCGACACGTCGATTGGTCGACCGAACGACACCGGTGTCGTGAGGGTTGTGTCTTTCCACACAACGGACTCTACTGTCATTTAATAAGCGTCCTCCGGGGATATTTCGAAGCGCAATCGAACCGCTGTCCTCGAACCATGACACCTCTAAGATTGTTGTCGCAGCCTCGGGTCCTTTGATCTCTGCAAGTAGCAATTAACCCTACGCGGTTAAGTTAAAAAAGAATGTAGAATTTCTACACAGGATGTATTAAAAGTGTCTTTCAATTTTAACGACAGATACTGTAGGATGGATAAGCAATCTTGATTTTTCTTTAATTGAAGTGTCGTATTAATATTTCTCGAGCTGTGAATGTTTAAGGAAACAAGAAGTTGTCATAAATAGTTAAATAATTTATAAATGAAAAGAACAATTTTGCTAAAATATTAAAAAATTTAGTTAGATGCGAAAATAATTTTGGACTATAAAAAAATATTATATAGAATACCTCAGCATAATGAGCAATGCTACAACAAATTTTAATAGTCTATAGCAATTACATTGAGCGTCCTATATAATTATTTTGATAATTCATCAAAATTATATTCAAATCTAGCTATAAATTTTTAGATACACTTCAACAAAATTGTTCTTTCCATGTAAAATTATTATTTATAGTTTGACCTAAATGATATCACGTAATATACGTAAAGAAATAAGATGATGACAAGTATAACGGAAACCAGACATTCTATAGTTCAATAAAGATTCATCGAAGTATTCTTCGTAATAGACCATTGCGATCGTAAAAGGCGCAAGATCTGTGGTGATGATCAGCGGAGCTTAACCTTCTTGTGAGCGGTCCGGCGTTCTTCTCGCAACATCCTAACGACTTTCCAAGCAACAAGAAGTGGACTATGTCGAGTAAAATCACGCATACGCGCTCCGGGAAGCCTCGGCATTGTTTTAGAAGAAAATACGCTGGCGAAGTCACGGTGATTAGACGCCGCAAGGTGTGGAGGATTGGGATCGATGGATTCCTGGAAAGAGCGAGCGTAGGTGTAAAAATGCCTCGGTGGGCAATCGTCACGCTCGGTTCGCCACATTCTGTCCGGCCGGACATCCCGTGGCGAGGGAGGTGATGGCTCCCCCACACATACATATATATAACGTGTACACGCTCGTATGATAAACGTATGAAGCGTGGAACCGTTGTGGTTCCGTCGGCATCAGAAGCACGAGGAACCGTGCCCGGATTGCGTCGCTCGTCGTCCTCCCGCAGCGTTAGGGACAGCAACGCTCGTCGTGGGAGCGGCGAATTCCGCACGCAATTATCCTGACCCGACATTTGTTAGGGTCCTGTCGCCCGGTTGGAGTCCCGGTCTCGACGGGACGACGAAGGATAACAGTGTGTCTTGGAACAGAGCGCTGGTTCATTCGCTCTTGTCGCGCCGCCGAGTTACGAAGTCACGTTCCTAGAGTTCCTTGAGGTTCGGTTTTGTCGATGCTCGCCCTTTACGACACGAGAAGCCGGCGCGGCGGCGACGAAGCAATATCTCTCGACATCGGCATACGGCGAACGCGCGCGCCGCGAGATCCGAATAGTTGGAACAGATGTAATCAGGCGGGACAAAGTTTGACTTCCAGAAGCAACACTGATGTAAATTCAATCTACGACGTGTACTATACGGAGTAAAGCCACCGCCTTTGCCGTCGCGGATAATATATCGCTGATTACGCGCTCACGTCGATTGAATTTAATTACGGAAATACACCGGCGCACTTGCGCGATCGTTTTAACGCGCTCGTCGTCGCGAGGAAGAAATACTGCGCGGATAGAAACGAGAAGATCTAAGCGCGCCGTCGTCGCCACGATCGATGAATAATAAAAACGCCCGAATGCCGAAGCGGTCGGGACGCCGCCGACTTGTCGTGCCCCCGCTCTCAATGCGACGTTGATAAATAATTATTGGAGTATAGACGTAGGCATTTACAAGCAGGTGCGCATTCGAAGAGAGACGGTATTTCGCGACACCTGGTGCTGATTAACGAACGAAATCGTCGGCGCGAGCGAACGCGTATATAGCGACTTTAAGCGGCCGGCTAAATTGCCGCGTTATTCCTGTAAACCGCGGCTATCCCCATACGACTGTCCAATTACTGGACGAGGTGGCAAGTCGTGTCTCGTCCGGGGATACACGCGTTCCGCGCGCGCTCTTCGCAGCGACTTGGAATCGTGGCTTCTTTTCTGCCGGCGCGACGGCACCGTTAAGGACGGATAATGAGACGATTCGAGTCGCGCGGAGACGAGCGGAGAAAGAGAGAAACTCTCGCGCGAACCCCCGTCGTCGTCGTCGTCGTCATATTACCGCAAGCTACCGTACGCGGTAGCGCAATTTCATATACAAAGCCCAAGTGAACCCCGATGTGATGACCCCGAACCTCCATTAGATTTATACAGTCACAATGTTGCGCGTATACGCTGCCCGCCGCCATGATTCCAAGATACACGAGGTGTTGCAGGCCGAGACGCATTTGCATTCAACGAGCGAGGCACACAGTTCCGCGCTCTTTATCTTGAGCAACCGCAAACGTTTTGTTGTCATTAATATTACTTATATTACATTCATCGCGATGATAAATGCTCGGATAGAAATTATAAGTTACTATCGATCGAGAAGTCGCGTGCGGATCATCGGTCCGACACATTACTGGCCGCTAATCGATGGAGTCGCTTATTTTTTTCTTAATTATGCGTGCATGCGTCCGAGATGTTATATGAGTGTTAAAACGAGCGTATTAATTAAAGCGCTTTCAATGGGAGTGGTGCATCTCGGTTACGTGACGCACGATATTTACTCCGCCGGTGGTACTTATGTGTTACCAGTATCGCAATGCACGCGCGACGACGATGCTAATTATGCGGGAAATATAAAAAAGGATACCGCGCGCCCGAGGAATATGAAATGAGCGATGAAGAGCAAGAAACGAGGCTATTCAATGATCAACGTCGGCAGTCGCATAATTTACCGCGCAAGACTTCTTATTCCTTGTTATTACAATCGATACACACAATTTATTTTATACTCTTTCGATGCTAATATTATTAATATATATGTCGTAATTATTAATATAACTGAATTATACAATGTCAAAATTGGTATATATTATATATTGTAATCTCGTGTCGGCTGAATGAAAAGAAATTGCGAAAGATGTAAAAAATAAAAAAAATAAATGCGTCTCATGCATACTAATATCTGCTTTTCTTATGTTAATATTAATCTCTCTAAATTCGAATTTATGTTACAAATTATTTCCATAACGTCATATTCGATTGTGATTTGAATAAAATTTCGGCATCACCGAGAGATCTTCAATTTTTGAAGCAACCCAAATCTAGATTCCATGACTTCTTCTTAGCAACGCGTGTCAAACAAAATAGCGCATCAATAACAACAGCTCAGTTATCTCCGGACAGGCCATTGACGAGCAACACATTTCATCCTCTCTTCCCAAAATCATATTCGGCATCTCAATATAACCGATTTTTATCGGTTATTAAATCTTCTTAGTGATTATTTAAGCACACCGGCTTAAATGTGCCGACTCCAAGTGTTCACCGAGTCCAAGTTATCTTAACGTCGTCGCACATTTCGGAAAGTCGCAAAGAAATCACCACGACTATTTAGAAATCATCCTGCGCCAGATGATAAACCGATCGCTCAGATTAACGTCGACAACGATCTTCGTGCGACCTTCGACCTCTCCGAGTTCTTCGTATGTGGCCTCTAAAATTCTGACGAGATCTGCTCATGAGACGACACATAACGGCATTACGATCCTGGAATATCTTCGAAGGAGAGAAGAGGCAAAAGAGGGTGAAATATGACGAAGCCAAAGATGTCAGCCCTGGTGGCCTCCGCTATACGCAATCTGCGGGAAATTCGTGGTTCCACGTCAAAGGAAATCATGAGTTACATTAAATCTCAATATACGGGATCGGACTCGAACATACAAAAACAGGTAATTAACAGTTTGCTTTATCAGTATTATTCATTTTTTTTTGTACAAGAAGCAACGTATAATGTCAATATATTAATTTCTTATTCTCACCATAGAAGTAATTAATATATATAATAATAATATACACTGATATTTAAATTTTATTTTTCTATATTTTAAAGGATCATTTAAAATTTTCGGATCATATATCATTGCATCATATTACTCAAATTTCGGAAAATTTTACTGAAAACCCTAAGTTAACAAACTCGGTAAAAAAGCGTTTGTTAATCATACAAGATGTGTGATAGTTATACAAGAAACGCTTTTTTTCTTTTCGCAGATATACGCTGCCTTGAAACGCGGCTTGGACTACGGTATCCTGAAGAGGGACCGTGGTTATTACAGCCTGAATACGGATCCTGAAATGATGTACAAAGCGCATACCGTGGCGCCCTTGGAGCAAGGCAGGAGACGAAGAAGGCGAAGAAGGCGACGACGTGGCCGTGGAGTATCGCGAAGAGCGAGACCAAGTCGCCGAGGTCGCAGGAGGAGGGGCAGGGGCAGGGGCAGAGGTAGGGGTAGGGGAAGGAGGAGGGGAAGGGGAAGGAGGAGAAGCAGAAGCTCAAGGAGCAGAGGGGGCAGCTCTTCGCTTCCTCGAACGAGGTCCCTCGCAGCAGCCAGGTGCAAGTGCGCCACGTCCAGGAAGCGCACGGAAGACACCTTGCGAAATTCCCCGGTGGAGAATCTCCGAAAGGACATGACTTATTTGTATAAGAAGGGTATCAACAACAACCAGACGCCGTCCAGACATCAGAGTCGTAGTCGGGATCGAAGTCAGACGCGCAGCCGATCGAGTAGCAGCGACAAGGAAATGATTGACGACCAAAATCGCGATCAACAATAAACATCTACACACGAAAAGATACTGCGGATCTTAATCCTTCGCAGTCGTATATCGTCCACGTAAAATTGACAATTGAAATTTTTATGCAAAATTGAAATTTTTTTTATCAGAGGTATATACATGGAAAAATTAATTATTATATTTTATTATTGTATATTATTTCGTACAATTCAATTTGGAATAGGAAGCAAATTTTATAACCTTTTAATCGGGACTGCAAAGGATTAATTGTTCGACACGGTGGTTATCAATCAATGACGAGGGGATAACTCTGACGAATCTAGATTTTGTTTTATTTTGACGATAAATTATAGTGCTCCGAAATGTACGTCGACAGCGAACTTTGTCTTGTAGTCTTCGACTTTTTACAAATTTTATATGTTTCCTTTACACTGACTGATTATATAAACTATTGTATCATCAATCGCTTTGGCACTTATTTCAATTAATCCGATTATTTCTTCCTCATCCGCTGCTATACAATTCTAGAATTGTGAAAATCCAGCCAATTACTTCTAGACTTGAATCGAGGGACGACAACCGGTGCTTTCTCTTCTTCGAAAAGCGAAATCACAAAGTCTCGTTGCATTGACACGATTTTCAGGTGCGAAGGATTTTCACGTGGCTCGAGGTCCTGGTGGAGATAGTTCAAATGAAGCCGACTGCTATAACTCTTGTCGCGACGGGGTCGAGGCAGGTTAGAAAGGATCGAGAAGTGATTAGTAGCATTTACCGGTCTCGCGCAAGGAAGTGAAGGCGACACGGAGCGAGAAAGAAAGACATCTGTCTATTCCCGGTACCGTTTAGATGTCCTGCAGTCACAATGCTGCGATCTAACTGCTCCCTATTCTCCGACAGGACTCTCCCCCGGAGGTCGACGCGACGCTAATACCGGGATCTATCAAGCGATACTAATGCGATTCTAACGGTGACTCTTTCTATCCTAAGATCCTTCTATAGCTGGAGAACCGTTCGCCGTTCTTCCGTTCATAAGCAAAACTCTCTTTGGTGGTCCTTCCAGAGTATTAATTTCGATGTAAAAACATATTGAATCTAAAAATACTATTCAAAAATGCTAATTGATTCAATGCGACATCAACTTCCGACAAGACATTTACATGCAATGATAATTTCGTACGAAAGCACAGAATATCTCTGAATAAAATGTTAGTATTACTAATTAACGGAATTATAAAGCATTGTACAGTTATAATGTATCTTTTGAGTTATATAAAACTGCGTAAACGTCGAGAATACATTATTTTATAAAATAATCTCGCGCAAAAAATTTAAGTAGTAATAATAAATTCATGGCGGATTTTTTTGGGGGCAATCTTCTCATTTTGCCAAGAAATAACGAGACAGCACGGAGAATAGAAGTTACTCGCGGTCGTTGGCAGGCGTAACCATCGTGTCCCGAACAGAGTTTCCAGCCACTCGTCGCTGCGTGGTTCCACCTAAATGACGTGTCGGACGGACAGGAAGAGATCCGGAGAGAAAACCTCGGCGATACCATCTCTTCTTTGCGCGCGATTGCTCGTGAAACACCGGATGCCGAGGTGTCAGTGAGTTCTCACGTACACTGACCGGCCGAGATAGCGTCACCCCAGCATTACGCGGTAATATCATTAAGGTAGATTTATGCTACCACCGACAGCAATGTCGACGCTCCTAGATTAGGAGCTATAGCCCACAGAGGCTACGCCCGCGGACATCTCTGACTTAACTCATATCGTGACTTACATCGGTGCGTGCAAGAAGTTTGCCCGAATGTACATGCAACGTAGTGCTCGCCAAGCACTTAACGCTCTTAGCAAAAATAAAGGATGAACTTGATTACTCTTTTGAACTACTCGTGAGTAGTTTTATTCCGGAAGACGAAAATAATTTAATCTTTTTGTAATAAGATAGCTCTTCTTCTTATCTATTTTGTAAGTTTATTCTTACGTTTGACAAGAAGCTAATTTTACTTCAATTTTTATTTACTGTTTTTATTTTTTAAAAATGTATGTTTTCTTCAATAAATTGAGATAAAATTTGAAAAGTGATTTCAACAATTTACTAAATGTATAATAAAATATAATTGAAAGAAATGTATTTCACTGAAATTTTCCTAAAATATGCGAAAATTTCATATAATTATTATCAGCCAAACTTCTTAGAATTAAGTTTTGCAGATGTAGACTCGCAAGATTAGGTGAATTTTTGTATTTATAATATAAAATATTAATTATTATAATTACATGATTTAATTATTGACTTAATTAAAATAATAATCTCAGTTTTTAGACAAGAGGTCATTTACGTAGAAGATTATACCGTTTTATGTTTCTCCGCGTCTACGAAAGCAAGAAAAAAGAAGAATCTGAGAAAATACAACAAGAAACTGCGAGAGGCATGAACGCTGCTCTAGTCCATGTCAACGATCGAGGAATTTAATTGCACCGCTATCTCCACAGCTAATATATCCGGACCACACGAGAGAGATTTTAATTCGTGCGATTCGCAGCGTTGATAACTACCGGGTACTCAAATTAGGCTACATCGACGATATGGAAACAGCAGGTGGCGATCCTGGCATCCAATTATAGTCCGAAGTGTTATTAACGATCGATCGCAATACAGCTCCCGTACTTAACTAGTGGGCAAGTATATGCCGCATCATCTACCAGCGCTCTCCTAATCGTCTGTCTTACATTGTGCGAGACGGTACTACCATTATGTGATGGACATACACGCATCTAATCACATAATTTCCATCGAGATTTCCACATCGATACTCGTTTCTTAAGGATGCTTGACAATTTCTTCAAATTCTCTCTTTAAAAATTATTCTGACGTTCAGATCGATCAATGCTAGAAATACGAAGGGATATGCATTATATCAATTAGGTGTCTTCATTACATCGTAAATAAATATCGTAAAAAGACGAATCATAAAATTCTAATCATATTGTATTAATCAAAATTCTGATATTATCTTAATATAGAATTATAATAAATTCAATTAGGAAATTCTGATTTCCTGTTTTAGAAATTTCTAATTGTCCATTTCCAATCAAATTTTTTTTCCAGCGTAGACTGTCGAGTAAAAAAGAAGATCCAAAAGTAGTAGGTCTATTACGGTTATAATAAGGATGACAGTGGCTGATCAACTGTGAAATGTACAAGTACGAATTAGTATCATTGCTCCTCTCTGATACGCAGTGAAAGATTTAATGCGTGTTCTGCCAGATTTCTTTTGCCTTGGCCGATCGGCGTTCATTACCGCGGTCGCTCTGGAGTATAGCCGCTTAACTGTTTTGTCCCGGCTGATGGATAGCGCGTTCGCACATTATTACCGGACACTCGGCCAGTTTTATGAGTCTAGATTGGTACATGGCTCTTTTACCCCCGGCCAAGCCGGTCCAGACCCAAGCGGCGCTAATAGTGTATTTACCGATAATGATCTCGGTGGTACGTATGATATAGTCGCGCGAGGAAAATATTTCAAGCACGTAAGTTCGTAATTTACGAGCATCTCGAACTCGGTCCTGCAAATCTGAAACCGGAAGTCGTAGGTGTAGGGTGCAACCCAGATTTTCGCTTTTCAATCCGGATGAAAATTTCAAAGCGAGAGAATCAAACAAGAGAATCGCGACCGCGAATATATGGAATATGAATAATTCTGGTTTCAACTCGGTATGTCACCTCAGTCGACTAGTCGTCGTTAACGCGAGAGCGAGTTTATTGCCCGCTTTTACGTCGTATAATTATCCATTGTGAAATTCGTTCCTCGTCCATCATGTCACACCTCTGTTGGAAAAAGTCGTAACCGGCAAAGCCACAAGTTTTGAGTTTATTGGTGTCGTGAATGTTTCCAATGATTGATATTTCGACTGGAAACGCGGATCTGGATATAATGTTAATGCTGCGGGCTAGAAAGCGGTAGTATTACATTTTCATTGAGTCATTTGCGTAATTTAAAAGAAAAAAATTCTTGTTATCCTTTGATTGAAATTATTACACTAATTTTAACACATGTGACACATGCACAGTGTGTATCATGAAATTTTAGAGTTATGTTTATTAATTATGGCTTATAAAACTGTTCGTAATACAAAATAATAAAACATCGCAATAGAACGTTATAAAGATAGAGTATTGATTACATTCTTACTCGAATTTATTTTTCTAATTATATAAACTAAACTATATTTATATTATTTGTACTAAATAGAGAGAGGATTATTTTTAAAAGTGTCTTATTTTGTCAAGTAAGACCTTTCAATGATATCGATATTTTTCTGCAGTCTTTCAATTAACTCTGCTTTAATTAACCTTAAGATAAGGTCGAAATGCGGGTAGAATGCAAGCCCCGCAAAAGCGTGACGAGTTGTAAATACGGCGGGTTAGCGGAAGAGCTTTGACGTTACACCTGCGACGTGCGTTTAATAGACACGCTATACGGATACGGTTTTTGTGGCATCTTAAGAGCAGACTGGTTGTATCCACAGCGGTCGTATCGCCTGTTGCAAGTCGCAACGCTGCAACTCGCATTTGCATCACTAATTAGCGGGGTCCTGCGCGGTCGATATCGAGACATTGATAGCATTAACCGCTCTGTTTTTCGTCGAAATCGCAACACGAATTTTAATTATCCCTTTCGTCCGTCGATCGCTCGTATTAGTGTCTCCGATTAATCCCATCGCGATAATCTATACGCATTATGAGTAACCGTATGCATAGCAAGATGGCATTATGGCAGAACATTTGGATATCTCTTCGGATACTTTGTCAGAAGATCTCTGCGCGTATAAATAAAGATCAATGTATATACACACACACACACTTAAAATATTCTCATTGCTATTTCTGAAACGTACAAATAAAAAATAAAACAGTTATCTTCTACGCGTTAAACGTAATTATAGAAGAAATATAATTTCAAAAATTAAGCAATTTTAACTTAAACAATTAAGTTTCCCAGGAAAAGAAAAAAATTCTTTTTAAATGTCTCTTGCCATTTTTATTTCTCAACTGTTAAAAACCTCTCTCTTCAGTTGCGACAATTTTCATGATTTTATCTAAGAATACCCTTTTTGAGTTGTGATGATTCTTTTATGAAGTTAAATTAGTTCACTTTTGATCTTTACTTAACTCATGGCAATAACTCGACAATTATATTTTTAAAGTGTTTTTGTCACTTTTGAAGTAAAGAAATAATATTCTTATATTGTAAATAATAAACAAATCTATAATTTTAATTAGATATGTTTTGAGATATAAACTTGGTTAATCTAAGAACAAAAATGTAGGATTTTTGCATAAAAGACTGAAGTTGTGACAGTATTGCGTGCGCTTGCGATCTCTCACGTGATCAGCTTCGCACAGATATTAAAGCGGCATCGCGAAACAAAGGTTCTTTTCG